AGAATTACTTTGGTCTCTGTGATGAAATAACAACTGTTGCCATCCTTTAATTGAGTGCTACTAATAAGAACAGGAAGCCGAGATAAAGGCCTCTCCCTTCTGGGGCAGCCGCAGCCGTAATGAGGCCTGGCGTCTGATGGATTAACCACACTTATTTTTTGCAAAGGCTGTCTCATTTTCCAGTCACCCTCTGCTGTGCTCACTTCTCCATGTCGGCAAAACAAAGGCCAGTTATTTTTATTTATTTATAGCCTTTCATTGCTCCACATTTACTTGTGTCTGCGGGTCATTAGTTGTTACCATTTGACACAATTTCCTCGAGGCTAGCCAAGAACGTGTGCGTGTACTTTTGTGTCGAAGGTTGACGAAGCTTGAAGGTTTTCATCCACCACAGATGATCATCAGGCACGAGAGGACAAAGTCAGCTTTCATTTTTTTTTTTTTCCCGACGCTCGCTCTCGTAACAAAGTGGAATGATGATTAGTGTCACTCATTGCTCAATGTCTGAACTGAATCTACTTCTTAGACCCGAACACAGACAAGACCTTTGGGGATATGAATTATAATGTCATGGTTAAACTTAAATAGTCTGAAGATGAAGCTGGTTTCTCTGATTTGAAGGCCAAAGCAGCATAAAGGAGGGGTTACCACTGGAACGATCATGGAAAATATATCGCACACGATGACCCGAAACACTTTGATATAAATTATTACTCATCTTAAAAGATCTATATTCTAAATGAATGCCTTACAGATTATTTGGACTCGAACCATGCACCTCCGCACTGCGTGGCGGACATGCTAACCAGTCACCCACTAAAGACTAAACAGATTCGTCTTCTCTGATCACCACAGAAAGAAACACCAAGGACGGGCCAGTTTTGTCCTCGGGCTGCTTTTGAAACAGTGCCCATTTTGTATATTTATGCACAAACAAACAGGATGACCTCCATGCATGTGTTTATGGGCTATTGAAGTCCACGTTGTGTGCTTTCGAATCCTTTGTGGACCTTGCCCAAATATCAAATCTGTAAGAGGAGATAAAACGACATGTAGCTGGTCAGAGAAGGGATTACGGATAGCAGTTCTTCGGAGACGGATACTCACAACTTTATTGACAACAATTTGGAGGAACAGCGACACAGTTTGGCATGTACTAAGAGATGGGCTTTCTGATCTCAGGATGCAAAGAAGTCATATTTTGTCATATCAAGTCATATTTATTTCTATAGCCCATCATCATAAATAGTCTCAAAGGACTTCCCATGCCCACAGTTGACCAATATTAACGGCATCCCCTGACCTTAACCCCCAGGAGGGCAAGGAAAACTAAAAAAAAAAAAAAAACATCCGGGGGAAAATGAGAAACCTTGAGAAGGGGCCGCAGATGGGGGAATCCCCCTTCCAGGATGAGCGGGCTGCAATGGATGCCGAGTGGGTGACATTTGACCACACTACTGTACTATACAATGTGAGTTAAAATGTCATAAAAAGTCCATTTAACAGAGGTTAATTCATAAAATTGAACTTATTTGTTTTCCGAACTGATGATTATAGTCACGTGACTGCTTCTTCATGACAGCATTGTGTCAGCTATGACTCTCTGCAACAATTTACATTAATACATGTACCAAAATTTTGATTTAATTATTATATTTGTACCATTGGTTGAATGAAAAGTAGTTTTTTTGAGGGGTACGGGGGAGGGAGTAGTCGATGTAGAATGTGCACACATTCTCAATGCAATGTCATGTTTCAGACACAATATGACAATCATGACTGCCAATGACTGTCACAACAAACACTGAGCAGATTGTTGTATGTACATTACACGTTTGCAAATCCAAGAAGGGTTGTTTTTTTTTTTTCTCCACGGCTGTCTGTTTGTGTGAGATTGTGCTCGTATAATTAAGCTGATATATAATTGTCAAGTGTGTCAGAGTGGGTATGTTTACCTTGCTGTGAAATTCACAAATGAGCTACTTGCATGTTTTTGGACGGATTTGTGTGCTTTGTATGCCACACTATGGATTAACACCAGAGTGGCACATGGCGTCACGTTTATTTCTTTTTTTTTTTTTTTTTTTTTTAGGGCCAAACATTGAATAGAAAGAATTATGTCGACAGTTATGGTTGCAAGATTGTTTGAGTGAAAACAGAAGACAGAACCAAGTTATTGATGCGAATCATTGTTGAGGGCTAAATACTTTCAGTCCTCACATCGCGTGCGATTTTAGTGCAGCACTGCGCACTCATTCCACGATACAACGGTGAGTGTATATTCAAAAGGAAGCGTTCGTTATCATTGTGCAATGTGCGCGCACCAGTGCACACGCGAATTGTATTCCTCTGTACGCCGCTCGTGTATTCTCGTCATGCAATGTGAAGCAAATGCAATATAAGCCAAGTAAAAGAGGATGCCTTCCCTCGCAAAGTCAATCTGGCACGCATGTGAGAATATGGAGAATTCATCAGGGCTGGCCCATGATTCGGTGCGATTTTCTAACTTATTGATTTCCTTTTGTCCATTATCTGCCAGGCGGCGCGGGCAGAATGATAAACGCCACGCGGCGGCGTATGAATTTAGATAAGACGTTTAAGGCTCAGTGCAGCACAGTCGTACATCAAGTTATTATCCATTGTCAGCTCCCTTCACCTCTTTATCCCCTCACAAAGGGCAGGCGCAATCGAAGGTGTCCCTTCAAATCTGCCTTGTCCCCTGTTAAAGGTCTTATCAGGACCATTCCAAGACGCTCCTCCTATAAGGACCCCCCGGCCGCCCCCAAAAAATACTCAAGCGCAACATACTCTGACTCATCATTATTGTCTTAATGAGAAACAATCGGAAGGAAGTATGAATGTTGTGTGTTATGTGAATTCTGATTCTTAAGGACTCTATAGGGTTTTTTTTTCCCCCAAACTGTTACTGGAATTGTGTGATGTTAAAAATAGACTAAAAACAAGCTTTTTTTGTGAATAAAATGTGTCAGAGAGATAGTATCAAAAAACATGAACAAGGCGTTACTGGGGTTAAATATTGTGGCTTTGAAATGGTCAGTCTTTAGTGCTATGCTGTACTACAGCGTTCTACAAAATGATAAACTACATTTTATGTTATGCTACACTATATTAAACTACACTACGCTTTGTTGAGCTATCCTTCGCTATGCTGTGCTGCGCTTTACGATACTACTTGACACTGTGCTACGCTGTGTTGCGCGATGCTAGGTTACTGACGCAGTGCTACACAAGGCTATGAGATGCTACACTAAACTTGATGCTATGCTACATAACTTTGTTATTGCATCCTACGCTAAAGCCAAACTGCGGCAGGGTTGTCACTTTCAGGACCTGGATTACTATTATCTGATCTTTCGAATGAGATGTGTTGCAGCAGGGAGAAATGGAAAACAGGCAGGACAGCGGACCACGAGGAACAGGATTGAAGAGCCCTGCTCAAGCCGTTACAGCCACAAAATGGACGATCTCCGCACCCTCAACACATCAAATCCCCTATTCGTTTGATTCTACACACTTTTCACGATGTATATTAAATTTGATCCCTTTTTATTTGATATCACTGTCATGTTGTTTTTGCTTCTTTGTTTTTATCTGCCTTTGTAAGTCGCCTGTAAATAAAATGTATCATTATTACGTCTCACTTGTGTTGCGCTATGCTGCACTATTCCACTTTATGCTCTGCTTTTCTGTGCTATGCTATGCCGAGATTAACTGCGTTAAATGACGCTTGTGAAAACTGGGCTGCAGGAAATATTCCACTTGAAGTGAGCCAGGCGCCCAAGTGTTACAGTCCAAAAATAAACATATATAAAATAAGCCCATCGCCTGGTGTATACAGCTGTACACAATCCTTTCTGTGACACTGGCTGCCTTCTCAATTGTACTAAGCCTTCACAGGCAATGATGTACAGAGTGACACTGTCATCTAGCGGCCAGTATAGATATTTCTGCAATTACCAAATCCCTTTGTCGGTGTTGAGTTAATTGTGGCGCTCATATTGTCCTGAGCAGCCATTCACACTGTCAGTTCCTCTTCTGTTATCATCACACTTTTCATTGTGGGACCGAAGGGCCTTGAAGAAGCTGCATTAATGCGCATGTCTTGCGGTGCCGCGTCCTACTGTTTACCCCATTCCTATTTACATACCTTGAGCCTCGATGATTCATGAGGCTGTCGCAAGCGACGACTCGCTCCATAATTTGTTTGCATGGCAACAAGGTGATGCAACCCCACCCCACCGCCTCCCCATCCCCCTTAGATACACTATGCTGATTTCTTTGCTATGATGCAAGGTTGCACAGATGTGTTTTGTTATGCACATGTATACTGGACGTCTCCTTGCAACGCTGAACTCCGCATCACACTGAACCGAGTGAGCAGCTATTCACAGATGCTCATAAGCAAAGGCAGTCAATGCATTAGTGTTGACACCCTCGTTTCCTAACATCTCACAATGGTATTCCTATGCATGAGTAGCCGTATCCGAGCGCGTGCAGAAAAAAAAAAAATGTAGTGACTGAACGCCAAAGCTGCAAGGGATTCCATGTGAAACCGATGGCGGCTCAACCAATCAGAAGCCTAAATGATCATCTTAAATAAAATCACCAACCAACAGTAATCTAGTTGATTCCTGTTAGTTGGTGTTTTTCAGACATTTGTTTTTTGGTTGCTGTTATGTTATTTAACTGTAATAGCATTGTGTGTGCTGTCTAAAAATAAGGAAATGTTACATGTATTTATACATTTTTATTAGTATTTTGAAATATATGTGCCATTTTAGGCTGACTATTATACTGTTGATGATGATGATGATGATGTTGAAAAAAATATCGAGTGGGGAAAAAAAATAGAATCTATCTATCTATCTATCTATCTATCTATCTATCTATCTATCTATCTATCTATCTATCTATCTATCTATCTATCTATCTCTCCTGGATTGAACAAGTGTAATACATAAAATGGCCGTTAGATGGTAGCAACATCTTGGGGTGCAGTATTCAGTCGGTTCAAACTTCAACGAAGAAGAGGTGCCAGCAGAGCGTGTCAAGAAATTCCCATCTAGAGCAAATATTCTACTTTTGGTAAATAATTGATTTGGATTTATAGTGTAAGTCTCAACCCTAATAGGAACAAATGTATAGTGTATTTTAATCATCGCAGTGGAATATTAATAATATGGCATGATGTAAACTAATAACGCGGCTCGGGTTTACATGGGGGAGACGCACACCGACCTCCATGCGTGCTTCGATGACAGTCACTCACGTATTGTTTTGATAGCGGGAAAAAAGGATACACATTTGCTCACTTTCGGCTTCCGTTCACATTTTCTAAGGTTAGTTTTATGATTTTTGCCTCTGTGTGTTGGATTTTGTTCCACGAGACGCAGCGTTGGGTGCACGATAGCAAAAACGGAATGTTCCACGTTCGGCTCCTTGCTAAAACAACGCTAACGGCACAGCTAGCTTGTTGGTTCGCAGCTCGATGCTAACCAAACGGTCCTTGTTGTCTTCAACATGTAATTAAACAATTACCGTTAAAGTTTTGCGTCTAAGTGTCAAAACCATCGAGTGAATTTTTGGGGGGGCGGGCGCGACGCTGTTACGTGTTCGTCTTTCGTCAAAGATGACCAAGGTTAATAGCAGCTGTCACGTCATCAACCAACTAATTGAATGTTTAAGTTTGTCACTGGTTAAAGACTACGAGCGTTGCATGCTGGGAAAATAAACACACAGTGTCGTACGTTTCATCGCCACTTATGATAACTTATATTTGAGAAATTGATCTCCTTTTGTCGTGCTTTTCACAGCTACATTGGCTATTACTTGAGTAGGTAGTTGACGTGAATTCCTAAACCGATAAAATAATAATGTTCAGGTTTACCGTTTACTGTCATCCCGTACTAATATTGACATAGTGACGTCAAATGAAACAATTATTGAATCCACCGCATAACTACCGATAGGGTGGTGCATTGCGGGCTTCCAACCAGAAGAGGGCAGTGCGGAATAAAATACAGCAAACTCCATCCCAGGTGTGTCAGGAAAGTTTCAGTACTAGGTCATATGTAGTTGAAACCCAAACTACTAGTTTCTCCTTTCTGAGTGGTCCACACCATCAACCAGAACTTCTGAAACGGGATCCAGCAGTGTTTGTTTTGTTCAGCGCGCAAGAAATAGCGAGATTGCGGTAGGACAACGAAGGGCAACGCACCTGCTCACAATGACATGAGCATCTGACATTTCATGGCCAAGAACATTGGTGTGCAGAGCAATGTCCCAACTCACCCAATTTGGCTCGGATGATGACCCCCCCCCCCCCACACCCCGTTTACCCAGCTCGACTGGGTCTTCAAGGGGATCCCCAAAACATTCAGAAAATACTAGGATGCAAGAAGCCACTCTGACATTCTTTATCAAACATATATAATAAATAAAGAAAACCTGAATAATTCATTCACAGCTCTGAGAAAAGTGAGGACAGACTGTTGCGAAAAATTGTCGGGACAAGAACCCTTATTGGACTTCCCCCACCCAAAAGTAATATTTGGAGTAGATTTTCTCATTGCTCATATTGACTTTATCTCCCACAGTGTTGAATGGCTGGAGGCAAGAATGCCGTCCAGGATGTTGACACTCACTTCCTGTGGGGTGACGTGGACGGGTTCAAAGTTTAAAAGGATGTCGCATTGTTGCTTTCTGCAAAGTTTAGTCCGTGCCCACGCATATTTGTACTTTCCAATCCAGCAGTTGATTAATATTTTGTTTTCTGTCAACAAAGAAAATGAGGCCGCTTGAAGGAGTTTTGCCCTTTTATCAGGATGGAAAATAAATGTCAAAGTTTGGCTTATCTGGCTCTTCCAGATGGCTCGGGCTTTACTGTGACAAACGTTTCCAGATGGTACATTCAGCTCCTATTGTCAGATGGGGGGGCGGGGGGGGGGGGCATCATAACTGGTCACTCTTGTAGAAATTCTATTCTTCCTCGTCTGCAGGATTCAAAGTCATGGATGAACAGCAGTCGTCTCCCGCGGCCAATACTGAAAACGCCAGCCAGAGAAACGGAGATGAGGTACGAGTTGAACCCGAACAATAGAAAGCATGCATGCACCTTGTGACTCGAATGTTTTTTTTTTTTTGTTGTTTTTATTTTATTTTTTTATCTTGAGATGCAAGCAAAGAATTACAGAATTGTGGCTTATCATCTCAGAAGACACGACGTGCCAACTGGACCAAGGGCAGGAAGAGGAAGAAGCCCATGAAGGACAGGAATGCGCCCAAAGCGCCGCTGACGGGCTACGTTCGCTTCATGAACGACAGGCGCGAGCAGCTGAGGGCCGAGCGTCCGGACGTGCCCTTCCCGGAGATCACCAGGATGCTGGGCAACGAGTGGAGCAAGCTGCCGCCTGAGGAGAAACAGGTAGGAAGCAAACACCAAAGAAAAGAGAACGCCGACATCGGGATCGAGACCTCAAGAGTCGAGCGAGCGCCGCTGGAACTCCATTCCAGCCGACTTGCGGCAAAAGGCGGGGCACACCCCGGACTGGTCGCCAGCCGCAGGGCACATAGAGACGACCATTCCCACGTAAGGGTGGGAACGGATAAAAATGTTACCATATGGATTCTATTATAGATGCTGCTTATGGATTCAATTCCTTCTGGATTTTCATTGGTTGAGGGAATCAAATACTACAAGTGGCTTTGTTTCATTTCATTCGTAACATCTTCTACTTTGGACTCAAGATACAGCATATTCAGTATGCACTCATAATTTGTCATACATATTTCATATACAGTTTATTTTAATATTTTTTTTCCCCACTGGAAACATTCCCCGATACGTTGCACTTGGCGGCTAACATTTGGGAATATTTGCGGTGCTCCTTTTGAATTTGCCTTCAGCCAAAACTAATAATTAAAAAAAAAAATTCTCTTGTTAAAAAAAAAGAAAAGAAAAAAATTGACCGGAGATTTGACGTACGCAGCGATATCTGGACGAAGCGGACCGCGACAAGGAGCGCTACATGCGGGAGCTGGAGAAATACCAGAAGACGGAGGCGTACAAGCATTTCACCAGGAAGGTCCAAGAGAAGCAGAAGGGCAAGCGACACAGAGGCGGTGAGTGAGGGCTCCACTTCATTTGCCGCCGGCTCCTGAATTGAACAGCGGGGGAAGTCACAAGTCAAGTACTAAATAAATGCTGGTACTAAATCACAGAAGATATTTAAATGGCCTTGTGACTAGCTTGTCCGCCCGGACTATTTTTGAAATGGATTTATTTGACTTTTCCTCCGCACACAAATTGCACCCAAAACTTTGAAAGCTCTGGCCAGGAGGAAGATTTCCCAACACTTTTTTTAGCATATTACGCATGTAGACAGGAAAACCATAGTTTGTTTTTTCTTTTTTTTTTTTTCTTTTTTTTTTCTTACCGCTTGTTTTTTTTCTTCAGAGGTCAGTGAGTCCGACTTTTTTAAAAATACAATGTTACATGAACAAAAATCTAACGTTCTGTTTTTCTGCGTTAATCACAAAATTCACAACCTGAGGCAATGCAACCTCCAAATTTTTTCTGAATGATGTCAATACACGACGTGTAATTCTCTTTGTTTGAGGTTTAGTTTGACGGTAAACTTCAAAAGGGAGTGGCGATAACGGGCTTGAAACTTTTTTTTTTTTTTTTTTTTTTTTAGAATTGCTGTTCAATGAGTTGCAGCACTGGTGTACCAAATATTTGCCAAAGCATAAATCCGACAAAAAAAAAAGATCTCTCTAAAATCTCAATGTTGGGTCACTCTTACCTCACGGCGCCGCTGCACATGAAAAATAATTTAAAGTGAATTCATTTGTCACATTATTAACAAAATGTCAAAATCAAGCAAGTTATTGCATGCATTTGAATTTTTGTTTCATTGCTAGGGGGGCCCCCCCCCCCCCCCCCCAAAAAAATATGGCTGTCGAATCAAAGTTTGGGCTGTCAGAGCAGTGGACGGAGTGTTCTGGATGACTTTTGCTCCCCTGGGTCAAGAGTGAAAGCTGGCTCCCAGTGACGGAAACATGACTCATCTGCTGTCCTCTTTCTTCATTTCGGTCTCTTTTTTTTTCTTTTCTTTTCCTTCCTCACCAGATGTCGGGAACCCGGCGGCCAATGAGTCTCTGCACGAGGTCAGTGCCTCTTTCCTGGCCTGTCAACGCATCAATATTGCATGGAGTTGATCGAAATGACACTTTGGGGTTCGGCTCTTGCGGGCTACTACTCGGGAGCCGGGATACGTTGTAGTTGGAGTAACATTTCAAGTTAAAAAAATTTAATTAGTCTCGTGTCAGCGATTGGCGCGTGCTCCCTCCAGAGTGATAAGTGAAGAAGGACGGATTTGAAGTTGAAACCGAACAGAATTTTACAGTAGCTTCAACTTGGTTTGTTTTTCTCCAGTACGTTGCATTTGCGAATGACAGTTCAGTTGTATTTAACTTTTTTAAGTACGCGTCGCGTTAAATCTCTGCAAACATTCATAAAAAAATTTTGGGACCGTTTTTATTGAACTTGTGCGCAATGCACTTAAACAACCTTCCCCTCGAAAGCTTTGACCGTATCCCGTCAATTGTTTTCACAATTTGTGTTTCCGTTGATCACCAGAAGGATTCCGAGGGCAAGGACCGAACCGTGTTTGACATCCCCATCTTCACAGAGGAGTTCCTCAACCACAGCAAAGGTGAGCAATACACTTATTTGGGCTCAGCTATTTCACCAATATTTTTTGAAGCAGCTCGTTTATAGACTTGCGCAGTATACGTTGTGGGATCCTTTTGCATGTGGGAAAGGAGAGCCCTAGTCACCGCACTTCAGACGTTTATTAAGGAACGCTCCGAGAACAGTTAAAGAATAAAATGAACACAATCAAACAGTAGCTTTTGTCGGAGACAGCTTACTGCCACACACACACTCAAGCCCCGCCTCTTAAAGACACACACAACCATAGATTTGCACTTTTTGGGGGGTAGGGAACCAAATCTTTGTTTGTTTCAAGGTTTTTGTTCTCAGACCAAAGCAGTAAAAACTATCTTGTAGGATCTTTGCGTTGGACTTCAGTTTCAATTGGTGACGGTGTTTTTCGGCAGTTTTGTGGGCCTTGACTGTGCCTCACACACAGTCAAAGTATGCTCTTCTTCTCTCCTGAGGCGGTGTGTGTAAATTTGCCAGTTTGCTTTGAATAATTGAACTACTGGGGACAACTGTTGATGTGTCATGGGCACAAGATTGCTCGATGCCTGCTGTTAGTGCTTTGTTAATTCTTCGTTGTCTGTGTTGTCACAGATGATGCGATCATGGGTATATTTGTTGAATTCATGGAAAGTGGTGTGTACTGCCTGCATTCCACTCACCAATCACTAGGGGCACCACATCTATTACATTTTTTTCCCCCCTTTACGTTATTTAAAAGATCCTAGTAATTAGTCCAAACGAATTTTCATTAAGTCTGAATGTGAAAGCATGTCAAAGGGATAAAACTATTTCTAAACTCTCCTCCCAAGAGACTTCCCTGAACCAAAAATAGAAGCCAACGGAAGGAGTCTGCTGCCCTGTCTGTCATACTCTTCCTCTCATATATTCACTTTTTTTTTTTCTTCTTCTTCTTCTTCTGTAGCTCGTGAGGCCGAGATGCGACAGCTGCGCAAGACCAACATGGAGTACGAGGAGCGCAACGCCGCGCTCCAGAAGCACGTGGAGAGCATGCGCGGCGCCGTGGAGCGTCTGGAGGGCGACGTGATGCAAGAGAGGGGGCGCAACGGTCTGCTCCACCAGCACCTGGACACTCTGCGGCAGGCGCTCGCTGCCAGCTTTTCCTCTGTGCCTCTGCCAGGTAACAACCGTGCTGACACTTCGCCTTTTTCGACGGGTGATCACGCTTGGTGTCTTTCGACTTTTTTTTGTGGGGGGGGATGCAGCCCCACTGGTCTAAACACGGCATTCTGATTAATATTGCATTTGGGGGATATGAGATCAGCAGTCAAATACACTTGCTTTTGTCCATCTCAGGAGGCGGCCATTTTGATGTCTAAAGGGGGTGCATTTTGCTGCTCAACTCATATTCTATAAATGCAATAAGAATCAGAATGCCGTGATCGAACGAATGCGGGGGCATAGAACATACTATTGTCAAGAACATTTTTTTGTCTTTTTGCACAGCGACACATAACAATCGATCACATGTAACAATCAGTCAAGCGCAACTTGGCGCGGAGTTCATCAGGGAAGTGTTTTACAGCCGATAGGTTTTTTTTTTCTCGAAAGGTTAAACCCCTCCTTGTCCTCCGCCAGTTTCCTACACCGCTCCCACAGCAGTTGGCACCGTTTCCCATGGGCGTGGAGGCGAAAGATTGATTGGGCTGTCCGCTGAACAAAATGGTGTTCTATTGAAGGCAGCGTCAGGTGTTTACTTGCACATTTCCCTTTTTTAATTTTTTTTTTTTTTTTATGTTGTTGAGCAAACCCCTCTGTGCCAAAGATGATGTCAGTAAACAAGTTGAGGCAACACTTGACGTTGCTCAGAACAAGAGCTTCTGCATCCTGCAGCCTTGGTGTTTCTACACTTTTTTTTTTTTAAATTTCGTCTCCTTCGCTCGTCTGGTTTAAGTCTAAACATCTGAATAAAAGTCTCCCGCCACATAAATTGTGACCATCATCACTTCTACAGGCAGCGGAGAGATGCCCACCCTGGACTCCATCGACTCGTACATGAAGAAGCTGCACAGCATCATCATGAGCAACCCGCAGGAACACGACAGCCTCATTAACACCGTGAGAGACCTGGTCAACCGTTTGGACAGGTAGGACTTCATATTTGCGACAACCCCAGAAATAACAACGATAAATAGATGAAAACCCTGACGGTAAAGTTAATAATATAAATAGGAAAGGTCTCCCTGTATTTTTGTTAATAACCGGGCTACTTCCTGTTTCACAAAGGATCTCATTTTGTCTGTGGTGCAGATCCTCTTTTGTTCCATTCATGATGTAGTGAATCAAGCGCAACAAGGTTTTATTTGGATCTGCATCACAACTGAAAAGTAGCAAAATACGAAAAAAAAAATATTTTTTCACTTTTATTAATAAAAATTACAAACTAAACACCAAACATTGTTTATGTAAGGCCAAAATATAGTCAACAAATTCCTGTTCAAATGACCATTTTTTGGGGGGGCGGGTGGGGTGGGCTTCAGGTGTTCTATATGAACATTAAAAAAAATGCCAATGGGCTTTTGTTTCATCCCAGATAATTGCTGCATGTTCAAGTGGGAAGTTGGAGAGAACCACATTGATCGGCACATTTATCTCTCCGCCAAAGTGATGAAGATGATGTAGCTCCTCATATTTATTTCTCCTTTTTAATTTTTTTTTTTTTTTTTTTTTTTTTTTTTTTTTTTTTAATGTGTCACTTTATGGATCTGGCCACAGTTCTGTCAGTGAAACACTCAATTGTTGTGAACCGGTAATGTGTCGCCAGAAAAGAAAGTGCGTATGTTTGTATTCTGACAAAAAACAAATACTACTTTGTGCTTCATATTTTGTAATGCTCTGTTGACAAATGTGCCATTTATTTTCTGTGTGTGTGTTTGTACAAAAAATGGTTGTGTTTTCAATAAACAAAACATTTTTGAAAAAGCGGAAATGTACTCTTTTTTTTTTTTTTTTTTAAGTTCAATGTGGTTGTCACTAAATTTATGCATGATTCACCAAAGAACTACCAGCAAAACCACTTGAAAAAAGGAAGAACTTCACTTATAGTGTATTACTGTGTTTGTTTTTGACTGGACATTATGTGGCTTCCTGTTTTCATTCAACGCTGCCCCCCCACATCCACGTTGCCAGCTGAGACTTCCCGTCTGCGAAGGCCACACGTGTCACAACTCTTGTACACGACGACGACTCGAACACATGCCCTGGCCAGCCCGTCGGCTGCTGTTTACAACAACTAAAGTGGCTTCTTGTAAAACAAAGCACGGCTAATTCAAACATTTCGCCATGTAATGTGACGTATGTCCGTTAAATGCTAAATCAATACTATTGTCGATCACTCTCTTTGTAAAAATGTATCGACCGAGGGATCACCGTCATTTTTAATAGTTATTTTTTTTTGCTCTTTAACGATTTGACTTCTGATAGCAACCCAACCGCTCATGCGCAGTAAGCCGGCACCCAAACAAGTCGAATAAGGAACTTGAATGAGCTTTGCTGGAGCCTGAACTTGAACGCGGCACGACAAAAAGGACGTTAATTTTTTTAAAAAAAAGAATAAAGTTTAAAATAATATTTAGCGACGCAGTCCGCCCACAAATGAAAGGCATCCTTCCTCCCGCTGCATCCTTGGCAGCCTTCCTTGACGTTCGGGGCGGAGGCCAGCAGAAAGGAGGGAGGTGGGGGGGCAAGTTGAAAGCAGCATGACTCACGGAGAGCGCCGCGGATGAGTCGAGAACGATATCCGGGTCCGTAAGGGAGGCGCCCTTTTGTTCGCTATATGCGCATACACGCAGCACGTGCCGACCATTGATTATTTATGAAAGGGCCATTTAGCCATGCGAGTTCGACATTGATTGACTTTCACAAATGTTTTGTCATTGCAACTCTTGTGCCCTTTCGTTTTTAATCAGTAAAATACTCAAAAGTGAAGCGTAGGAGGGGAATCACTGCGACCCAACTCTCAATTTAAATATCCCAAGCCAAAAAAATGATTGTTGTATCGTGGGCAAGTTGGGCAGTGCCCCATCGGAGCCAGCAGGCGGTGCTGTGGTTGCAATAAACATTTTATGTTTACTATAATATAGCGTAATGATTGGAGTTCAAAAGTGGTGTGTATCGATGAACACATCTACTCATTCTCAAATATGTGTGTCTGACCTTTTAATTTTAAATATTTTTTGTTTTGGCTATTTCAATACGGCACTTTTATTTGCTTTTTTTTCATGTTTCGAAAAAGTTTTCTGTGAATGTGTTTAAATATTGTCAAAGTATATTCTAGGATATTTTTTGTATGCTCCTTTTTTTCTCTGTTTTGCTTCTGGATGTCCTTCACTGTTGCATTTGTAAATGCACGTAGGTGTTGTGTCTTTGCTTGTGTGAAACACATTGAGTTGCCTGGTGTATGAAGTGTGCATTTGAAATAAAACTACCTTGCCTTGCCTTATAGCAAAATGTTTTATGATTTGAATACATCTTTCCATGAAATTAAATTTTCCAATTGTCTATAATTTCCAGAAATAACATTTAACAGAAAAGTATGGATGTCATCTTGCTCGCTAAAATGACAATTCAATGTCAACGTTTGGAATGACTTAAATCACAACCATATCTTTTTTACTCACTGCAGTGACATTTTATTTTTCATACATATAAATTCTTCCTCTTCTTGGTTGCTACAGCCCGACTTGACAGTCAATCAAACTAGCACAAAGATGTCTCTGACGTCAAGTCTTTGAGCTAGTTCCCGTTTTTCCGACATCATTAGGCCCGCTGTCTATTTCCGCCGTGAGGTACTTGAGAGTTTATCATTACACAGCTGACTTCCTGCCAAAACTGACTCATGCTGCCAGACATCTCTCATCTTTTGGAGTGGCCCGCACCTGCATTGTGTATTTGTATTTGGCTGCGACTGCACATTCTGTTGATTAGAAGGACATTTCACATGCATGCCCTGCTTTGTTTTCAGCCTTCTTGGCTGTGCTGTCACTAGCGTTCCTCTGAGGCGCCGTTCAGAGCAACCCAAAAAGAGTTTTTAGCCTGCTAAAAATATTTGGTCCATGTTGGATTTTGCCATTTATGAGTGTTGGAAAAGACGGCCACAGCAAGCTATAGAGCCAAAATTGTGAGCAAAAATTTGGCAGGATAATAAGGTGAAGTTTACTGTCACACTGAACAGAATTACACACTGTGTATTTAAAACAAACACATCGCTTTGCCTTATCAAAATCTGTGTGGCCTAATGCTGACAAACACCGCTTAAGGCTAATGAGCGGCATCGGTGTCACAGTGTGGATTAACCATTGAACAGATATTTGTGTTAAAGTGATTTGTGATCCAAATGTTTTGAATTACAAGCGTGCTCACAGAACAAATAAAATCCCATGTTAAAGCACCACTGTACAGTATATGTAAAAATTAATAATAATAATTTAAAAATACAGATTTCTTTTTTACAAATTTAGAACCAAAAAATGTTTCGCAGATGTGTCCATTAAAATCAGTAATTTTTTTTCTCAAAATCTCCATATTAAAATCTGTGTTTTTATTTAAATCTGACAATTAACGTAGATGACAATTTTTTAAATAATCTTCCTTGATATAATAATCTCTGTTTTTTTAAATGTTTTTTTACATTTACCCAACGGCTCAGCATAATTTGCACATTGTGTGCACAGGAGTACTAGGGGCTGAAATTAAGAAAATCCTAATTAAAAGAAAAATGTTGTTAAATGACAACAAAATCAGAATCGCAGTAGTTTATAGAAAAATCATCCACACATGGAGTTGACAGACTCATCAACCTGTTGTTATTTTAACATTTGTCTAACTTTTATTGTGCTCAGTAAAAGAGTAAAATGTGAGTCAGAGTCATTAAATATTGTTTGACCCATCCGGCCTGAGAAAGTCATCGACCGGTGGAGTGCGAGAGGAGAAGAGCAGAGAGGAGGAGGAAACAATGTTTGGAATTTGCTTACAAAAAAAAGAAAACTTGAGTCATTCCCACATGTCACGCTCTGGCTGGAGGTTCCGCCCCCTTTTTGCTCTTCCAAGTGTGCTGCCTTCAGGGTCACCATGTTTTTTTCAATATCAACCAAAGAAGTACGTTTCTCTAAAATGTTATTTTATTGACTCCAAAGCACAACAAAGAGCTAATGACTGTGAATGAATGGAATGAACATTCACCACTATTTTCCTGTTTCTTCCCTCCACAGCATGAAAGGGGATTCCCCCACCAGTGATCATCGTCTCTTCAAAGGCACAAGGTCTGAATTTCAATGAATGAGCAACAGATGCATTCGCCTTTGGATAATGCCTTTGCCTAATAAGGAAATATAGAAATGTGAGTTAACAAATAATCGGGTGTCCCTGAAATGCCTGCCCAACCACAAACTCTGAAATTAAATAGTCGATTAAATATCTAGTTACTTGCTTATATCTGAAAATGTGGCTTTTTTTTTTGTTTGGTGACTATGTGAATGACTAATCTTAAATATCACATTATAGTTAAAGTTACACTGTATTGTTAAAACGTTAATCACGCGAGATTGTAGACGTCAGCCATGTTGATTTTAGAAGTGGTAGAAGTTGTTTCTGAGTGTTGTTTTGTGTGTGTGTGTGTGTGTGTGTGTGTGTGTGTGTGTGTGTGTGTGTGTTATCGCTTTTAGTAATTCATTTTCATACGTTTGAAACGCGTTTGAAACGCTCATATGTAAAAATGTTCTGATTTGAAAAAAAATGCTTGTCATCCGTGTGTGCACGCGCCACCTCTTGAAATAGTGTTTCGTGATTGCGCGTTCACGCGGCTCTCGACGGCCTGCCCCGGATCCCAGTGCGCGCGCTCCCGCGTCAGCCTGGTGGAGAGGGGGGAAAACATGCAGCGGCAGTTGTCCGAGCCACGCAGAAGAGCGAGCAAGTGAGCAAGAAGGAGAGAAGCGAGGGCTCCGTGGACGAAAAAAACCCACTCGCATTGGTGGCACCGGTCGATCTCTTCGCAGTCGGATTGCGGTGACAAAAGCCGCCGTTCCAAGTGGGTTTATTTTGCATGACGAGAGCAGCTCAACGTCGAGGAGGAGAGGTAAGAGAAAGTTCGCTTTCAAAAAAAAAATTAAAAAAAGAAAAAAGCTACAAGTCGCCTCGCCCGCCTCTTCCCCGGCTTCCAACTTCCAGTTTCAAGAGGGGGCAGTGCGATTAAATGTCCACATTCCTGCCTTGGATAAGTTTGTAAGTGGTTGTTGTGGAGAGAGGGTGCAGGCGACGTGACGTTTCCACTCCACTGTCACGCCGCGCTGAAAGAGGGCCAATATTCAGCGCCTTAGGGACTGCTTCGTGTTTGGGCTTTTATCGTTGATGAGGGTGGACCTTATAAGTTGTACAAATGCTTAACTTGAGCACAAGTTGAGTGCTAAACCTTGGAACACGCCGATGGTGGGTGGCCAAGCAGAGGTTCCGGGGACACCAAGGGCTCTTTGAAAGGGTGCCCAGAGGGGGTCCTGGGCTGTCAACATAACCTTTGTTGTATTATTGTTTCCAACAATGGCAGCCATCGGAGCCAGTTCGGAGTTCGAAGAAGGAATTAGCAGGGGCATTTAGTTTGTACTTAATCGTAGCCGGCAATGTTAGAACGTCAACAAAAACAAATCTGATAGAATAAGGTATGAGAGATACGGTATACGCATAGATGTCTGTCCACATCAATATTAAATATGAAAAAATATCAATCGGATTTGTGCGTGATTACAGGTTTGTGCCGTTTGACGGTTGTTTTCATCTTTATGGACATTCAAACCATTTACAGCAGCTGTACACGTTGGTCTCATTATTTATTTCACACAATTTTATTGCCATACTCTTATATCTTTTAATATATATTAAAAAAAATCATTGGTAAGGTTATTCCGTGGACTTGTCATTCAAAACAAAGTCAATCTTAAATTTTCACAAGCAATAATTTGTTGAGACATGCAACTTTTGCAAGTGGGCGGGACGGCACTATTTTTCACGCAACCTAATGTCACGATTTATGTAAAATAAAAAAAAAACAACAACTGCAAAATAAAGATAAATGTGTTGAATATGACACACAATCTGCTTACTACTGCTTACACAAATACAAATATGACTAATATGACCATCCATATCACAAAATTAATTATCACATTTTTTTGGGCTGTGTTTAGTTGTATTTTTGTATATTTATTTTTAGTTCATTTTACTGTGTTCTGTACAAAATATGTATTCTACGAACAAATGGAAAAACGTTAATTAAAAATCGCATGGAATTTTAAAGAAAAATGCAACATTGGGATATGTAGGGGACCAAAAAGAAACTAGTCGTTTTTATTTACATTTTTTTTACAATTTAATTGAAAAACAAAAGGTAGAGAAAGTAAAGCTAAACAAGTGTGGACACCTTCTTGATAACCGCGATGATGGCTTGGTTCAGAAATAACCGTATCGAGGGTCTCTGATTAACCCTAAATCAATTTCAGCTGTTCAATTAGACTTTTCCTGGAATTTTTTTTTTTTTTTTTTTGGCTTTCTAGCAAAAGTCTGAAGGTTTTCTGCTGACTCTTGCTGACATTGGCTGGTATTTGGTGCGTTTCGTAATTGCCTACACCTTGACTCAGGACCCAGAACATGATGCTTCAATGTGGATGTGCTGATCTCGTAGTGATGAGCTGTGTTGTATTTGCTCCAAGCATACCTTCTGGAGTTATAGCCAGAAAGTTCTAATCTCCCAAATGCCTGAGGGGGGGAAAAAAAAAGTGTTTTATGGTCTGATGAAAACAAGATTCAACATTTGGGCCATAATTCCAAAAGGGTTATTTGGCCCATCATTCTAAAAGAGCAAGCACCAGACCTACAGTGAAGGATGGTGGTCTCAGCATCGTGCGTCGGGGTTGTTTTTCTTCAGCGAGAACTAGGATCTTTGTCAAGGCGAAAGGAATAAAAAAGTAAGAACAGTTCCGAATAGCAGTTGGTGTTAGCACAAAACTATCAGGCAAAAAAAAAAAAAAGTGTCACGAAAGGCACACAAAATCTTGGGGTATGAACAGGGGTGTGTAGACTTTTGCTTTAGGTATTTAAAGAGATGATATACCGAGATTGTTGGAACGTGGGCGGCCCGGTGCCTGAGTGGTTAGTGCGTCGACATCACAGTGCAGAGGTCGTGGGCTCGATCCCAGCTCTGACCTTCCTGTGTGGGGTTTACATGTTCTCCCCGGGCCTGTGTGGGTTTTCTCCGGGTACTCCGGTTTCCTCCCACATTCCAAAAACATGCATGGCAGGCTGATTGAACACTCCAAATTGTCCCTCAGGTGTGAGTGTGAGCGCGGACGGTTGTTCGCCTTTGTGTGCCCTGCGATTGGCTGGCAACCGGTTCAGGGTGTCCCCCGCCTACTGCCCCAAGACGGCTGGGATAGGCTCCAGCGACCCATGTGAGGATTATGCGGATCAGAAAATGGATTCACAACTCGTAAATTTTGCATTCACAAAATATGAGTTTGACTGTCTCAGATTTGGACATACATCATCATCTATAACGTAAAATGGAGTCTTGTTCAAGATGAATCAAATCCAGGTTGACCTAGATTTGACGTGATAGTTTCTGTTTCAGCAAGAATCAATATTTGAATGAGATCTGGTTTGACTTAAAACCTTCATGTGCGGCAAACAGATCAGATTCAATTTGGCAGAATTACCGTGTCAAATCTGAAATAAACTTAGCTCGGCATGGCGGTTCCTGACCCAGAACATTCCATCGAATGCACCGAGTTGTGACAGAGCTACGGGTAAATGAACGAATGACATTTTCCACGTCTCATTGAATCCGGATTGAATCGAGACCAAAGTCCGTCGGACCTCGACAGCTTCCGACGCTGCCGACGCACGTCCAGTTTCATTTCAACCAAACAATGGACTGATCATGAGCAACTCAACAGGCACAATAAAACTGGAACATTTCCCAAGCAAGTCTGAATCGGCTGCGGATGAAACGTGGCTTGCATATTAAAAAAAAAACAACGGCGTGTTTGTGTAGACATGAGCTCAGCGCACAATATGTTTGGGGAAGTGAAACATTTGTCATCATCGCGTAACCTTTGCAGTACATTTCTAAATCTCTGTTGATTGGAAACAGGCGGCGACCTCATGATATACGACATGTTTTTGCATTCACACGAGGCCGCAGTTGTTGGTTTTTTTGTGGGGGGCCCGGCTGGTGGGGGGGCTCCCACTCTAAGCTGACGGCGATGTCAACAAAGACACAGGCGTCCGGCGTTGTTTCCTCACCTCACCTACGGAAAAGAGGACCACCAGGCGGACATGTCGTTGATGTTTCAAACCCTCTCCCTCAAACGAGGTAAACACTTGTTGGATGGCTTTGCTGGATTGTCGCAATGTGGACGGGCCCGACATTCCTCGCGGCGAGCGGTTTCCAGATTGTGCTCTGCGGCGATCTTTTGAGTTTTATGTGATTCGTGGCATCTTTTGAGTGACAGCTGCGCTTTTGCGAGCCTGCGCTTTGTGTCCAAGCGGTTTCGGCGTTTCGGGGGGGCATGATAAGGGGCTCAGCTCTGCCACACATTTGCTGCTCCGCACCTTCTTGTTTGCCCGCCGTCGACCCTCAGCCACATTATCGACACATTCTGTTGCAATCGTTAGATAAGCAGGCATCAAACACGACATTTATGACCTTCTCAGTTACCGTACGGGCTGACTGTGCCCTAAATGAGTGCTGCGGATGACTGCTTGATGGACACCAGACAGTGTCGACATCGTTCAGTCGAAATAAACCGTTATTGTCCCACGTTGTATCAATTCGAGCTGCTACCTGCCGCGGCCACCAGGGGCAGTATGAGGAAAAACAGACGCCCATACGGCCCACGGACGTCTGTACAACATGGACGTCTCATCTCGTTTCAGCTCCTCTCAGGGGATGAGTAATATATGACTCAAAATAGTGTGATCTTGAACGTCCAGATGTGGTGCTGCACCGTTTGTGTTCACATATCATTTGCCTCACCGGCCTCCCCTGACAGCACATCGCTGGCGGTTTCAGACTTTCACGCAGAGTTGATGCATGGCTCCCAAGTGTCGTGGCAGTTTCGGGTAATGTTCCTCCGTGGGAGAAATGCCGTCGGTGTCTTTTTAATCCGAGACAAGGAGACGCCTCTTCATCCGACCTGTATTTTTTTTTTTTTTTTTTTTGTCACAAGTGTGTATTAGACTTGGAGTCCGACGAGTGCATCATTAAGTATGACAAATGTCTCTTGCTCATGATTTAACCCGCCCACTTTATCCCGCGCAAGTTGAAAGGATGTGAGTTGGATTTTCATCCACGTGGTCTTTGATTTCAAGATGCTATGCTCATTAATCTTTCTGGGGGTTTTTTTCTCTTCTAAATCTTGGCTGGATGATCATCCCAAAACGCCTCGACGCTGGGATTGACTAACCAAGTTGTTTTTTTTTTTTTGTTTTGTTTTGTTTTTGAGTGTTATTTTTAAAGGCAAGGGAGAGGCTCTCGCTGAATGTGGTGAACTCTTCCAGAACTGTTTCGACCAGGAGGAGTTAGCATAGGTTAGCTGGCGTCATGCGGTCTTTCGACATTTCATTTCACACGATTCATTATTACGCCCGTCTTTGAAAATGTCCCAAAAATAGCTCACGTACACATTTGATGATTATGAAGACACCATTTTTTTATTTTATTTTTTTATTGAGACTCATGGCCAATTGCTTTGTCTCTGATCAAACTTAGAAAAGGCCAGTCCCCTCAAAAATGGGAGGGGGACGGAGAACTCTCTGAAGTTTAAAAGAGGGCGTGGCTTGAATAATGTAAACAAGAAATAGAGCAATCGGACTCACGTATTCATTTTACTTTCTGTTTAACGAGTCGCGTTTCATTTCGGAGGTTTTCTCCCAATAGCAAAAGCACAACATTGAGCTTTTGCCCTCAAGATTCTGCACTCAAATTAAAAATTCCTCTCCTAAAAATTCGTCTGTTATCTCGCCTCTAGAACACTGTAGCCTTGCTTCTCTCTTGAGTCCCCAGCGCATCATTTCCATCGGCTGTGT